CCCGCTCTTCGGCTAGAATCCATTGCCCCCAAATTCAAACCCTTTTTCACAAGAAAAATAAATTCAAGCTTCAATTTTTCACGATCGCGCTAGGCTGAGCTCCAAAAGGATCCGATCCAATTGAGCCCTAATCAAAAGCCAGGCCAACAAGGATCGGTCCTGGGATCGTTTCCGCCAAGCAAAACGGATTCAATTGAATCAGCACCTGAAAATTGATTATTTATTTGTTGATCAATTTGTATTGAAAGAGGATCAAATTGAGTGAATTTGTGATGAGGAAGTTAGGTTTTGAATTGCTCAGAGTTGAGGGCTTAAGAAAGAGGAATTGTGGAAAAAGAAGAAGAAGACTAGAGGAGGTGGCTTCGTGCGAATATAGACATTTGCTTTCGATTAGAGACAGGTTGCCATTTGCGTGGGTGACTCACCGACCTGTATCGTTAGCGCACAAAATAATGGCGGACCCACACTCGAATTGTACAATAATAAATGACTTTCGCCTGTCAAATTAAATACGGGAGATTATTTGATACATCGGTTAAATTTTTTTAATATTTAAATTTATGTATTTTTTAATTTTTATATACTTTTATGTATATTTGATAGATGAAAAATTTAACATATTAGTATGTTAACCTATTGAAAAAATTCCATTAAACAAATGTGATTTTCGCCTAAAAAAATATTTTTGTAAAGTAATAAGAGATAAATTTAGTATATGTTTTTATAATATCAAAACATTTTAAAAGTACCTTGATTTTTTTAATAATATTAAATAAATATTATTGAGTTTTAAAAAACATATTATGAATGCTAAAACTCTTTTTTGAGATATAAAAAATATTTTCTATTCTTTATTTAATTAGTGAGAGTATTTCTAAAAAAAATTTAAAAGATTTAAAAATTAGAAAAACCTCTCAAGTTTTATATATTTTAAAATATGAATTAAAGAAATATTTTTAAAAGGTTTTTGTAAATTTTAAATTTTTTAGCTTCTAATTAATTAATAAGAAAGGTAGAAGAGACATTTTATGTCTCAAAAAGGAATTACAAGTAACCACAACTTATTTTTTAAAATTTAAAAGCATCTATTTTATATTATTAAAAAATAAAGTATTTTTGAAATGTTTTAAAATAACAGATGACACAAAATGAATTTATCTCCGTGGGAAAGAAAATTATTCCTTTATTCGGCTGAAGAAAAGAAAAATAAAAGATTTCGGTTACATTTTTCTTGTCAGGTTTATATACATTTTTTCCCCCTTTCTTACAAGATAAAACCATGGTCTCTAGCAGTCCAAGCGTGCTCGAACAAGTAGGCCACTTTGATCCCACTTCTTTTATGTTGCATCAAATATAAAAGAAAATGTTATTTTCAGCTTTTATTACACGTAAAAGTATTTCTTTTTTATTTCTTAAGTGAATCCTTGTACAAAACAATATGAAAGCAAAACAACGAAAATATCCGTATAACTAAGGCCCCGTTTATTTCACCTTAAGTGAATCCTTGTACAAAACAATATGAAAGCAAAACAACGAAAATATTCGTATAACTAAGGCCCTGTTTATTTCACCGATTCGAGTTTTGTTACAATAAAAAGCTCTCAGAAACAGTTACATTTAACTTTTTTATAACAGTAAAAAGTTCTCACATAAAGTCACATCGCAACTTGAATTAAAACTCAAATAAACGAATTAAACGGACCCCAAATGTGTAGACATGCGCTACCCAAACCTTTCGGTTCTGTTATTGAAATTAAGACACTAACCACGTAAGAGAATGCAACTTGGTCTACTCTTTTTTGGCTTTGAATACTTTACTTGGGCTGTAAGTAGTGCCTTTGCTTTGTTTGGAATGAGACGGAAAGAGATTCAGAGAAAGTCTGAGAACATATTAACTCCAGTTCATGGGAGGACTTTCTTCTCTTCTTGATCGTCTCATTCTTCAACCATGGGTTAAGATGCGACCAAAGTATCCAAAGGTTCATTGAGGTTGGTGTAAATTATGAAGTCTCGTTAGAGGTCTCTCGAACCCTTCCGTTGTACCAATGTCTATATTCTGTTTCACTCAATGATCCGATATGGAGTTTTGTCTTGCTGTTACAACAGGCTGAGAATACTGTCCGCTCCCTTAATTGGTGCGGCATTCAAAGTAGGCGTTGGGGGAGGCGTTCGAGTTCACACTAAGCTCTCTTTGCTGGCGCATGCTCTCGGCTCTCCCATTCTGAATTTTATATCCTTCTATCCTTGAAGGACATTGGCTGAGGGATGAGACAATGAACGCGTCCACTGTCTATCGGAGATTCGAGAATCTATAAGCAATTCAATCTAATGACCGGACTAGCTTCGGCTAAGATTCATTTATTTGTCTTTAAACCATCTGTTCACGTAATGCCCCCACTTCCTAGCTCAGAAAAAGCAAAATGCTTGAAAAAGAATCTCTATATATCAATGGTATTGATGATTCATTAATTCTTTTCAAAGGGGGCCATAAATGCTTTGAATCCGAAAAACAAAAATACTCCCCTTAAAGAATGATGTTCAAATACACAAAACTAATGTCAAAAGAGTGAATAAAATAAGTAAACTACCATTTTTTTTTTTTATTAATAAGGTAAGAAAAAAGACGCAGTTAGACCATTAAAGCATCTACAACATCCTCTGACTCATCCATGGCCATCTCGTCTCTAAAGAGCAGTTTCAAGTATGGAAGGACTCTTGGAAGCACTGCCAAATCGGCTATGTTGACACTCATCATGTCAAATGCTATGCACGTGTTGTGCATGTGGGTCTCGTCAAATACAGGAATTTTGGGATATCTTTGGCTGAAATGCGTGAGAATGACACGGTATGCACCTGCAGAGTTGCCTACTTCTATGGCTTCCTCTGTTGTGCTGTGGTTTTTGGCTACGGCCTCCTCTACCATGCTGTCTTCAAATGTTGCCTGCAACAATCACAAGAGCAACAATGAAAGTAAGTCTCTACTTTTTTCTAAACCATTGTAAAGTTTGTTATATTCCTCTATTAATTATAATGTTAGATTAACTAGATCTTGATACTTGCCTCGTGTATAAGAATAGTCGCACCGCGAGATGCTTTAATCAACTCCGGGCAGGGTCTAGTGTCGCCTGAGTACACAATCTTCCACCCTGGAATCACTTTTCCAACACTATTAGTTCTCTCTGCCGCCTTCAATGCAACACCAAATGCTTGTGGGCAGTGAACAACGGGAAAGCTGATTAAGGCCTCTAAACCGACATCACCGAGGACTTTCCTTAAGCTCTCCATTGCCGCGGTATTGTCAACTAGACTACCAGGTTTCTTCCAGTAGCTCTGCATAAGGGATCCTCTACCAAACAACGTGGAATCAATTTTCTGGGCCATTTGCCCATTGGTATGTTTATCCGTAATATCCTCAGGATCAGTTGAATCTCCTATTGTTTCCCTAC